TATGTTGGCCCCTCCCCTCTAGGTCAGCCAGCCTGCAAAGGACTTCACCACACCTTAGGTGCGCAGCCCATAGGAAATTGGTCTGGGACACCCAGACAGGGGCATGACCCAAGCACATCTGATCAATCCCATCTGAGAAGGGAATAACTGAAGTTTCTGCAGTACCTTGTTTCTGCCAGTCCTGCCCAATTCCAAGATGTCATTCCCTTTACCATGGAAAGGGTTTATTCCCGACACTCACTGCAGGTCAGAGTAGGTCCCCTATCAGCTCCGCTTTCTGTGGTCTCACTGATCCCTGACCTCAGTGCACCCACACCCCAGTGCAACTGTGGCTCTGGCGACTTGAAGCAGTGGGAAACTGGGCAGTTTGCTGAGTCACAGCCTCGTGAGTTCAGACACAACAGCCAGTACAGTTCTCTGGTTCACTGCTCCCTTCTGCCCTTACATCTCCTCGCCAAGGCCTTCAGGCTTACCAGCCATCAGCTTCACTGTGCTTATGCATCTCCAGGTTCCAACAGTGCTTCAGGCACAGTGGACTGGCTCTGGTGAGAACACCACCAGCTACCGCCTTCTTCTGTTCAAGTTTTTCTTTTCTAAAAATCGTTCTGTGGGCTTCAGTTCTCACTTTAGTTTCTTCCTTGATCAAGGGGATCTATGTCTTTCCTGCTTTTCCTTCTCCAGAATGCTATATTCCAGCATTTCTCTCAGAGAGGCTTTTTAGTTTGCCGCCATTTTCCCAGACCCCCTGGAGGATATTGTTCGTGGTGTATCAGGATTTTTTTTATTATTTAAAGAAAGATAAAACAGAATAGAAAGCAGGCAGAAATAGTACATATTTTCAAAGAAAAGAAATAAACAGTAATAAATCACTAGTTGATGTATACATATTGTCCCCCCACAAATAGTTGTTCAAGATACAAAAGTGGAACATATCAATGAAAATTCAACCAGGAAGATTGCAAACCATTCTGTTCAACTATCCAACAAAAACTAAGTAATATGAGTATCAATTCTATACACTTAGATATGTACGCATTTATCCATATCTTCATTCATGTTGAGACCTAAAAAACTTATTAGATTAAAATCCTTCTGAACAAAGATTAATGATATTGCTGGATTTCACATCATAACACTCCGGAATCAGCACTGGGTACTTCAGTGCCCCTTTCTTTCCTTCAAAGTATTTGTTCATTTCATCATGTGTCATAAGATCAGTACTCATAAACTGTTTATAGGTTTTATGCAAGCATGAGACTTAACATGTATTTCTATCCTTTCTGTATTAGAGGGAGAAACAGAACAGAATAGGACAGAACTAAACATATTCCTATAGACACATAAAACTAAAAAAAACATATAAAACTGCTGTATAAGGAGTTCTACCATGGTCACTGTGCAGTTATTTGTTATCATCAACTGAATTGGCTATGTCATCAGATAAAGTATAATTGAACATATCAATACATAACAGAATTAACATAAATACAACTCTATAGCTAGGGTAGAACTACAAAAACAGGTAGTAATCAAGTCAGAATGGATATCATGCTGAATCATTGTCATTTTCAGTATAGTTGTCTATACCCCTCAACTTGATACCAGCAACCTAACAGTTTTAAATAAAATCTGTCAATAATAAGCAGATTTCAAACAAGTCAGATTCAACTAAGATGAGTCATGATACAACAGTATAAGTCATACAGGGATCCTGATTGAGTTAATAGGAAATTAAATATGACCACTGTGCTATGTCCTGATATCGTCAGGACAGCTGTCTGTACCCTCAGATCCAGTGCTTGTATACAAACTAGGGTGGAACAAGTTCCAACCAGTGGTGTGAGTAATAAGGGTTTTAATTCATGATACACTATTAGCTATATCTTCTGCTGTTTTTTTTTAGTGCTATTCCTCCCCTTTACTCCCCAAGAATGAACTGTGTATTTTCGGGTCTCACCATCACTCACGGTTTTATATTGGGGGGAGCAACGTGTTATTTACCTAAGTATTTCTGAACTTTCTCATTCCTGGGCTGGATTTCTAGTTATATTTCTTCATTTATTAAAGCCTGTCTGTTCAGCCTATCCATAAATACTGGCCCAGTTACCCCTATTATTCTCTGGTTCCCTATCATATTGATTTCTGTTTTCTCATGTTTGATTTTGGTCTATATAACCTTCTTCAGGATAATTACATTTCCTATAAACAGTCTCTCGGTGGACCCTACCTCTTGATCCACTCTGCCTGCGATTCTCTCTTTTTTCCCTTAAGTTAATGTATCTAGGCCATCTATATTAGAAATCATATCCAACCTTCTTTGCCTCATTTCTGTTGTGCTCTTTTTCTGTCATTAGTTGTCTGTCTTTTTCATTTTGCTTTTGCTCCATTCATTGTGTCCTCTCTGCCATTGTTTCTGGAATCCTGGTACATTTCTCTCTCTTTAGAATGTCCTGCAGTATTCTCTGTAGAGTTGGATTGGTAGTTGTGAATTCCCCCCAGTTCCTCTTTATCTTGGAAGCACCTTGTTCCTCCATTAATTTCTAGGGACAATTGCACAGGATATATCAACCTTGGCTGGAGGTTATTGTCTTTCATGGCTTGGATTATTTCGCCCCACACTCTTCAAGACTTGATGGCTTATGCTGAAAAGTCTGCTGTAATTCTACTGGTTGTTCCCTTGTAAGTGATCTGTTTCCTGTCTCTGACAGCTTTTAATATTCTGTTCTTATATTGGATTTCTGGAATCTTGATTATTATATGCCTGGGTGTAGTTCTGCTTTGATTGTAGGTGACTGGAGTTCTGTATCCCTCATACATCTGAGAATCTTTCCCTTTTCCTATGTTTGGGAAGTTTTCCTTTATTATTTCTGTGAATAGCCTTTACAGTTCCTTTGTTTGTACCCCTGCTTCTTCTCTCACATTCTTTATTCTTAAGTTATAGATCCTCTTGTCATCTTCTAGCCTTTGTATTGTTATTGCTTGTTTCCTTGTTATTTTAAAGAAGTTTTTCCTTTCATGTTCCCACATTACAAATCTGTCCTCCAGTTCACATTATCTATCCTTAGTTTCTTTCAAGCTGTTATGCCAGCTTTCAATAGAGATTTTAGTTTCCTGGTAATATCTTTGAACCTGCTTCATGTATTCTATGTTTTCTCTATTTTCTCCATCAAACGATTCTCTCCTTTTTTGGTTCTTCCATTCTACTATCTGTTTTTTCTTGAGAGGTGCTTCGCATTTCTTTAACTATTCTACTTATATCTTGCTTTACTTGGTTAAATACTTCACTTTTGAACTCGCCTATGAGGTCCTGAAAATATCGCTTTATGTCTATTGGTGCCATGCCTGACATTGCATGTTTTCTGTCCTCATTCTCCTTTGCATTCACCTTTCCTGGATCAGTGTCCTTAGGATTGGGGTTTGGGGACCCTTTCTTGTTGCTTCCTCTTCTCATATTTTTGTTCCTTCCATACAAGCATATATAGGAGGCCCAGTTTCTTTCTTTGTTGATTTCAGTTTGTCTGAGGTGTGCTGACTAGGTGGCCCTGACCACTGCAGTGTACTAGGAGGTACACACCCAGAGAGCATATGCTGGGCCTGCCCTCCAGGTCAACCTACTGAAGGCTTCATTGCCTTAGGGTGCACTGTCAGGTGCATGGACCTTGTTTGGGCTAACCTATTGGGCCTCAGTCCATGGTGTCACCCAGGTCAAGAGCTCCCCACCAATCCTGCTTCAGAGGGGCATATGTGACTGAAGTCACTGAAGCACCCTGTTCCAGCCAGTCTGCCCAGTCCCAGAATGTCCTCTATTGGAGCCTCTTTGTCTGTGGAAGGGTCCCTGTTCCTCTCACTCACCGCAGGTCAATGCAGGGTCCCCTGCCAGCTCTGCTCTCAATTCAGTTCACCAATTCCCACTCTCAGAGTGTTCACATCTCTACAGCTCTGCTCTCAATTCAGTTCACCAATTCCCACTCTCAGAGTGTTCACATCTCTATCCTGGCTGTGCCAAATCTGGCATGGCAGTGACAGGACATTCAAGCCACAGGTTCCAGCAGCAGCACGAAGACATTAGCTATTCCAATTGTAGCAGCAGGATTGCATTTCTGATGTTTTCTCTCAGCTTCATTCATTCCTGGGTTGGCAGGTTATATCTCCCTCTGCTTAGGACTCCCCACACCATACCATTCATGGAATATAAACTGGCTATCTCAGAGAGCCTCTGTAGCTACTGTTATCTATCCACCATCTTCTTTCCACCCCCCTCTACAGAGAGCAGTGTATCAGGATTTCAAACCCACATTACTCACACCACTCTGTTTAGATAGATTATATTCTGTCCCAGTTTGTCTACTTGCACTAGATCTGAGGTCACAGACAGCTATCCCAAAAATAGCAGGATATAGTATGGTAATCATCCTTAATTCCCTATTAACTTAATCTGAAGCCCTGATGACTTATACTATTTTTACCGTGACTGATCTTAGTTGAACCTGGTTTGTTAGATTGCTGTTTGGTATTGACAGATTTTATTCAAAACTGTTATGATTGATAGTATCAAATCTGAGAGTATAGGCAACTACACTGAAGTTGACAAGATTCACTACAATACCCATTCTGGTTTGATTATTACCTTCTTTTGAAGTTTTACACTATCTACAATGTTTTGTTTTTATTTACATTGTTATGTACTCTATATTCAATTATACTATGCCTGATGATATACACAATTCTACTGAAGATAACAACAGACAACACAGTAACCATTGTAGAACACCTTGTACTGTGGTTTTATATGACTTTTTCATTTCATGTGTTTATAGGAATATGTTTTGTTTTGTCTTGCTTTGTTTTGTTTCTCCCTTTAATATAGAAAGGATAGAAATACATGTAGAGACTCATGCATGTGTAGAACCTATAAACAATTTATGAGAACTGATCTTATAATGCATGATGAAATGAACAACTACTTTGAAGAAAAAGAGACACTACAGTATGTAGGGAGCTGAGTGACAGGCATTGCTGCCTAGATGTCTCTCTCTCTCTCTCCTATGGGCACTGCGTCTGCCTACATTAACCATAATCCTCTTCTGCTTACGTCACTTATCCGGATGTGATGGTAACCCTGTTGTATTCATCTGTTTAACCTTTTCCTGTCCCAGCTCCCGCCCTTAGCCTATAAAAGGTGTGATTATTTTTCTGAATAAACCGGAGGCTTGATTGGGTTAACATCAACTTGCCTTCGTCTCTTTTTGTCTCCCCTATGTCTTTTATTTAATCCCTGTTTCCCCTCCAGGAGTTCTGAACTTGTTGATCTGCAGGCCGGATCAAGTGGCGCTCAGCATGGGAGCTCCTGGCACGGAGAAGTTAACGAGGGAGCCGTTCAAGAGACAGCCGGCTTAAACCGAAAGTGAAAGCAAATTGAACCAGAGACCTCGGCCGAGGAATGAGTAAACTGAATCAAGGATTAAAGCTTAAAGCAACAGGACATTAAATCAAGTGCCGAGACCTGCGCAGACGACTACCCAACGTCCTGCCCGAGTCACGGTGAGTGAACGGCAACCCCATTTCCCTTCCCCGACATGGGTCAAGTATTGAGCGAACATGAAGTGTTCGTCAGAGGCCTTATAAAGGCATTAAAGACAAGAGAGATAAGGGTTGAAAAAAAAGAATTATTACAGTATTTTCAGTTTATTCATAAGGTTTGCCCTTGGTTCCCCCTAGAGGGTTCTATAGATACCAAGAGGTGGAATACAGTAAGAGATGTTTTAAAAGATTATTATAGAGTTTTCGGTCCAAAAAAGGTTCCTGTGACCACCTTTATATATTGGAATTTAATTTCTGAGCTGCTTGCCCAGAGGCATGCAGACCCTCAGGTTGAGGAGACAGTTGCACTGGGTGAGGCTGCCTTGCGCGACTCCCTTAAATCTACCTCAAAACCGTCCTCAGAAAAATTTGAAGCCACTGATTTCTCAGATGCAGAGAATGATGGCCTGTTAGAGGTCCTTGTACATGGTGATCTGCCACCACTTCCACCTGTTGACATGATCAGCAGGTCCCAGGATGGCAGCCCGCAACTCCCTGTGCCTCCATGGCAAATAGGGGATTCATATAAACCTTTAGAAACAACCTTAACTCTGAAAAGCTTGCAGCCGCAAGGCAGCTGGTGCAGGACCAGTTAGATGCAGGCCACATTGTTCCTAGTAATTCCCCTTGGAACACACCTATCTTTGTTATCCGGAAAAGGTCAGGAAAGTGGAGGCTGCTACAAGACCTTAGGGCGATAAATAAGACAATGGTCTTAATGGGGCCCCTACAGCCAGGCCTCCTCTCACCCAGTGCCATTCCTTTAGGGTTTTTTAAAATTGTCATAGATCTTAAAGATTGCTTTTTCTCTATTTCTTTACACTTCATTACTTCCAAAAACTATTGGGAGATATTAATTGGCTCATACCATTTTTAAAACTAACTAAACATGATTTACAGCCCCTTTATGCGCTGCTTCAGGGAGACATAGATCCAACTTCCCCCCGAGAGCTTACACCTGATGCCAGGAGAGCGCTCAGTAAAGTAGAAGAGGCTATTGCTCAACAAACTGTTTCCTTTATGGACTACAATGAGCCTTTACAGTTTCTCATTTTTAATACAAAGCTTTGCCCTACAGCAGTGTTCTGGCAACAAGCTCCCCTCATGTGGGTCCATTTACCAGTCTCTCCAAAAAGAACACTTTTGCCTTATTTACAAGCTGTCTCAGACCTAATAATCCAGGGTAGAAAGCAGGGAAAATGTTACTTTGGCAAAGAACCAGATATTATCATTCAACCTTTTACAAAAGACCAAATAGATTGGCTACTTCAGAGTACTGAAGTGTGGCCTATTGCCTTAGCTTCCTATTCAGGGACTATTGACAATCATTACCCTCCAAATAAGCTAGTTGACTTTGCTAATCGTCACTCATTTATATTCCCTAAAGTCACAGCTTCACAACCCCTTCCAGGTGCCCTGGTTTTATTCACTGATGGCTCATCCTCCGGAAGGGCTGCTTATGTATCTCAAGACAATGTTTCTAACCTCCAGGCAGATACTTCCTCTGCACAATTAGCAGAGTTAGAAGCTATTCTTGCAGCTTTTGCTGCTTACTCTGACCAACCATTTAATTTGTATACTGACAGTGCTTATCTTGCCCAGTCTGTTCCATTATTAGAGACTGTTGCTACTATATGTCATGCTTCCCCAGCTGCAAATCTGTTCAAACAATTACAATGCTTCATATGGCTTCGGCGTCATAAGTTCTTTATCGGTTATCTGCGAGCTCATTCCAACCTCCCAGGGCCTCTTGCCCAAGGAAATCATTGGGCTGATGTTGCTGTACGAGCACAGGTTTTTATGGCTCAGGACTCCAAGGTGTCTGAGGCCCAACAAGCCCACCAGCTACATCACCTCAATGCTCACACCCTCCGCCTTCTCTACAAAATTACCCGTGAGCAAGCCAGACAAATTGTAAAAAATTGTCCATCTTGTGCTATCCACTCACCTGTTCAACACCTAGGAGTCAACCCTAGAGGTTTAATTCCTAACGCCTTATGGCAAATGGATGTTACCCATTTCAATGAGTTTGGCAATCTAAAATATGTACATGTCATTATTGACACTTATAGTGGCTTCATTTTTGCCACTCTCCAGACTGGAGAAGCTGCTAAACACATTATAGCCCATATGCTGTCAGCCTTCTCAGTTCTGGGATGTCCTCAACAGCTCAAGACCGATAATGGCCCTGGCTATACCAGCACCTCCTTTGCTCAATTTTGTAAAAGTCTTAATATCCTCCACACTACAGGTATACCTTATAATCCTCAGGGACAAGGCATTGTTGAACGTGCGCATCGTTCTCTTAAATTCACCATAGATAAAATAAAAAGGGAGACATGGTACCCCACCCAGGGGTCCCCTAGAAATGTCCTTTCACATGCTCTTTTTATTTTAAATTTTCTGACCCTGGATGCTTCAGGCTGCTCCGCAGCATCTCGGTTTTGGCATACTCAGACTCAAACACGGTTTGCATCTGTTTTATGGAGAGACCCACTAACCAATGTGTGGAATGGCCCTGATCCAGTCCTTATCTGGGGACGAGGTTCAGTGTGTGTTTACTCTCAACAAGATAGAGAAGCTAGATGGCTACCTGAACGCCTCGTAAAGCAAGTAGACAGTTCTTCAAAGACCCCATGTAACACCCAGGAATAATGTTATTTCCTGAGGCACAATCCCCTGTGTTCTCTTACAGGTGACACATCTCCCTGGAGCCTTATGCTGCTTAACCAGCCTTCTTGAGCCACACCACACCCATGGTGGATTTTGACCCCTGCCAAACAGACTGCAACTGCTGACAGCCATGCACGGAACCCCATGACTGCGGAAGAGGCTCTTCTCGGTCTGGAGGAACATACGCCAGCCAAATAGACTGCATCCAGTGTTATTCAAGGCATGCTCCAAGACACAGGAGAATGACTTCATACAGAGACACCAACAAATGGCTGTCAACCCCTTCTCCTTGATTTTGGGGGGGGAGTTTTTCCCTTACCTAGTCCCCCTTTTGGGTCCCCTAGCTGACCTATTGTTTCTCATTTCTGTGAGTCTTGTATTTTTCAGAGGATTATGATGTTCATTATTAACCGGATAGACGCATTTATGGCAAAGCCCATTCAGGTACACTATCATCAGCTGGAGTTGGCAGATCAACAAACCTACAGGGAAGGAATTCCCACGAGTGGCCCATATGATGATGCGGCCTGACTGCCCTGGGGCAATGGACAGGCAGTCAGAGACGGGCAACTAGGACATGCATGTTAATTCCAACGGCCACCTAAGACAGGCACAGGACCAACTGCTGTTCTGCAAGCCCATGACAGGTAAGGCCTGGTTGGGTTCATGCAATGAGGTCCTTGACCTAAGACAGACGCTGTCCTCACAGGGCCTGCCATACTCTTAATTAAATAATATAAAAAGGGAGGAGATGTAGGGAACCGAGTGACAGGCATTGCTGCCTAGATGTCTCTCTCTCTCTCCTATGGGCACTGCGTCTGCCTACATTAACCATAATCCTCTTCTGCTTACATCACTTATCCGGATGTGATGGTAACCCTGTTGTATTCATCTGTTTAACCTTTTCCTGTCCCAGCTCCCGCCCTTAGCCTATAAAAGGTGTGATTATTTTTCTGAATAAACCGGAGGCTTGATTGGGTTAACATCAACTTGCCTTCGTCTCTTTTTGTCTCCCCTATGTCTTTTATTTAATCCCCGTTTCCCCTCAAGGAGTTCTGAACTTGTTGATCTGCAGGCCGGATCAACAGTACCCAGTGCTGATCACATAGTATCATGATGTAAAGTCCAGCAATACTATTATTCTTTGTTCGGAGTGATTTTAGCTTGCTTTTGTTTGTTTAATCTTAACAGACATGAAGATATGGATAACTGCATGTATGTTTAAGTGTACAGGATTGTTAACCATATTACTAAGTTTTTGTTGGATAGTGGAACAGAATTGTTTGCAGTCTCACTGTTTGAATGTCCACTTTGTATGCTTCACTTTTGTAACTTGAACAACTATTTGTAAGAGGAAACATCTAACTATCAACTAGTGATTTCTTACGGTTTATTTTTTCTTTGAAATTCTGTATTACTTCTACCCTTTTTCTCTTTTGTTGTTTCTTTAAATAAAATTTTTTAAAATGCACTTGAAAAAAATTCCAGAAGTCTCCATTTATTTCAAATTCATGGAACTACCTCCTTTTTTGCCTTTGCATTTTGTTCTTTGGGTCCAAATGCTCTGTACTACTTACAGTCCTTCTTTAATATATTTTTTAAAAGACCAATTTGTTGTTAACTACTTCCATATTATGTAAATAGTGCATCCATGTGGAGACTATTACATCTGAGTAATGCTAAGGTAATCTCTGTATGCTCAGTCAGAGGGTGCTTTAATCCTGCTGTATCCCACTAATAAAATATGGATATTGTTAGAAATCTTTGCACTCAGTACTTCTATCAAAGGATCCCAAAATAATACGTAACCATTAATTAAGCTATTCAACAATCCTGTGAGCACACTGTGTGTTTTTCTCTTCATTTTAAAGATAATTTAACTAAAGAAAAATTTAAAGGCTAGATATATATATGTATATATATATATATTCATATGTAATGTATACATAAGTTATTGCATAGGATATAAAATAAATTAGAAAACAACTGGAGAATTAGAATTAGGCCTAATCCCCTTAATTTATTTGTGCCTCTAATATACACTGGTGAGTAATTCATCCCGGTTTTTCCAAGGCTAGGTTGATTTTAGCACTGAAAATCCTAGGTCTTGGTAATTTCCTCAAACACAGTTGAACTTAAACATTTGGATAACGTAATACTTTCTGGTTTTTATGTCCAGGCAATTATAAAAAGTTATAAAAGTTGACTCTAAAAGTCAGAAATTCCATTAGTTAAGCAGCCCCAGCACTCTGGGAGACTGAGGAAGGGAGCTTGCAAGTCCAAACTCAGCCTGGAAAACTTAGTGATTTAGCAAGACCTTGTCCCAAAACAAAAAATAAGGAAAAAGGCTGGGATCATAGCTTGAGTGTGAAGGCCCCGGGATAAATCTCCAGTGTTGGAAAAATAATAATAATAAAATAAAATAATACATATAAAGAAGCTGAGAGTGTACTCAGCAAAAGAGTGAGTGCTCAGAATAAAGGAGGCTCAAGGTGATCCTCAGCACAATAGATAAGTAGATAGACAGACAGATAGGTAGATAGATCGATCGATCGATCAATAGATAGATAGATAGATAGATAGATAGATAGATAGATAGATAGGCAGGCAGGCAGAATATAAAACATGCAGGGAAACTGAGTTGACACAGTGTGGTGCAGGTGAATTTTAAGTACCCTACAGACTCATATGTTAAATTTGTAACACCTACCCAAGAAGGAAATAGTATGTAGAGGCAGAATCTTTAAAGAGAATTAAATTACAAAGGGTCATTAAGATGAGCTCCTATCCAATTTTTCTGGTGTCTTTATGAGAAGAGATTATACAAAGGGAAGATGTTATTAACACAGAGAGACATGATGGCCCTCTGCAAGCCAAGGAAAGCCTGTCCTGCCAATGACTTTGAATCCCTGAGATCTATAGAGGATAATGTTTCTCTGGCCTCTGCATCCACCTGTGGGATGTGGCTATGGAAGCTGTAGGTGACTATTGCACGTTATATTTCTAAAACATGATCAAGATACTATAGAAAAGGACAAGCTAGAGAACAAATCTCATTCTTGGAACTTAAAAATACAACTGCCAAAATAGGACCCAGTATCAGCCTGGGAAAGAGCTCAGTGATGGAGCAGTTACACTCTTGCAAAACGTCTAGATTCCATCCCTATTACCCTTCCCCACCACACACACACACACACACACACACACACACACACACACACACACACACACAATCTTGGGGTATAGAATAAGAAAATCTTGCAAAATACTGGACCAAAAGATGTTAAATAAAAAATAGAAAAGTTAAGGAATACTTCCTACAAAAACAAACCAACTGAAGAATATTTCAGAAACAAAGAATAGCAAAATAAGAGAAAAAGCTAAATGAAGGAAAAAGCTGCCTTCAAGTTGAAAAGGTTTGCTAGGCATAGTGGCACACACCTATAATCCCAGCACTCAGGAGATTGAAGCAGGAGGATCACTGTGAGTTTGAGGCCAGTCTGGCTACAAAGTGAGTTTAAGGCCATCCTGAACTGCATAGCAAAAACTTGTCTTTAATTTTTTTTGAAAAAAATTTGTTGGGTGCAGAGCACTATGAATGAGTAAAGTAGAATAAAATAGAAAATTAAAACCTACATACATTAATAGGGGAGTACAAAGATAAACCCTCAAAGCTTGTAGACATAGTCTCTCTCTTGCCCTCTCTCTCTCTCTCTCTCTCTCTCTCTCTCTCTCTCACACACACACACACACACACACACACACACACACACAGAGATGTCACCATCAAATGAGTGGGATCCAGGCAAGCCTCATTTTTCTTATAAGCAACAAAATTCAAACAGAAAATGTTTCAAACCCAGCTATCAATTAGGTTGAAGGCTGATCACAAACATTTCAAATATGCAAAGATTTGGAAATTTACTCCAATTGTACCCTTTCTTAGTTACTTAAATACATTCTCTAGAAAAATAAAGAAATAGAAATCCATAGTCCAATCAAGAAGAGAAATGGGAGAAAAAAACACAGAATGGTATTTATCTAACGGTTTTAAAAGAGAAATTCATGGGCTATGGTTATAGATTAGAGGTGAGCACTTGGCTACCATGCTTGAGGCTCTGGATTCCATTACCAGCACTGAAAGAAAAATGAAAGAATTTCTTTATTCAGAAAGAAAAAGGAAGGCCATTTGAAACCACAGAGAAAAATGTTGTACAAGGAGATAAATGTATACTACTTGCCTGTCAATTAAAAACATTTAAATACAATAATAGAAATAATTTTATTGATTTTCAACTTTTATGATCAAACTCTAACAAAAGAAGGCAGATTTCATCATTATTGTTCAAGAAGGAGTAAGTACTAGCAGAGTAGAAATTTGGGCAATCTCTAAAATAGGCCACAAAGGAGTTCATTTAAAATTTCAGGATTAGGCAACAGAAGATTAAAAAGTCAGTGAAACATATTGTCGAGGCAAGAAGAATATAGTTATAGAAGAAAAATTAAATTCACAACAGTCATAGCAGGAAGTCAACAGATAACGTCTAATGTTGATCTATCCATCAAAAAGGTTGGTATAAGCATATTCTCTGCCACCAGGCCAGGCCAGCAAATTCACTTGAGATTAAAGCAGCCTTAGGAGTTCAGATTCAGCAGGCATGTAGGAATGTCTGATGTATATTTACCATCTCAGCAACCCAGGGAGCAACACTGCAAAGTTCTACTCCCTATAGATGATATCACACAAAATCAACATATTTCACAAAGTAATATAACATAGACTACTTGCTCACATATTTACTGAGCATATGTAAGCTACATAACATATGCTGACTCACAAGCAAACAGAAGGCCTTGGTGAATAACCTGGGCCCAGCCACCTAGGGTTCCCTGAGCACACAGCATATAATTTAGGGATGTATGGAAATAACAACCAAAGTTATAAGTTTTGAACTTTACAAAGGGGCCAGAGATTTAAAAACCAAGACAAAGGACTTTTATTTATTTTAGGCCCTAGCTCTAGGTTTTTAAAAATAGCATATTTATCAGTTTCACTTCAAAACATTTAATATAAGTAATGAAATGAGTCTAGAGCCACCAAATCTACTTCTGTTTGTCTAAATTAAGTCAAAAGTTTCTTTTATGATCCATCGTGTGAAATAAAATCACCTACTTCTAAAGCTTCATCGGAGTCCAGCATAGTGGTGTGTTCCAGTAATCCCAGTACTTGGAAGGCTGAGGCAGGATCACTGTGAGTATGAAGCCAGTCTGGACTACATAGTAAGTTTAAGGCCAGCCTGTACTGAAAAGTGAGACCCTGTTTCAAAAAAAACCACCCACCAGGAGGTGTGTGTCATAATTCCATAGGGTGCGCTTAGAGGAGCAGGCTGGTAGAACTGTATGGTACCTTGCAAGTGACTCCTAAATTTGAGAACTCTCTGTTCCAGTTTTTGCTCTTCATTAACTGTATGACCTCAGGAAAGCTATTAAACTCTCTATTCTTCAGTTTCTTTGCCTGTAAAGAGAGGATGATAATAAAAGTACTTGTCTGACAGCAGTAAGGAATAATTAATGTTGTAATATATAGGATAGAAAAATGTGTGCACAGGATTGACATTAAATTCTTTTTTTCCTTGATTCTGTGTTTATGGGAAATTCATAGAAACAGAAAATTTAATGATTGACGGGATCTGGAGAAGGGAAAATGGGGAATAACTACTAACAAGTGGGGCATTTCTTTGCAGAATGATGAAAATGTTCTGTAATTAGTAGAATAAAGGTTCTACAGCTCTGTAAATACACCAAATGAACTGTACATTTTAAAAGAATGAATATTTTATGGCATGTTAACTACACTCATTTTTAAAAAGATGAATGTCCCTACTTAAACAATTGATAGGGGCTGGGGATTTAGCTCAGAGGCATAAGCGCCTGCCTTGCAAGCAGGCAGTCGTGAGTTTGATCCCTGGTACCGATAAAAACAAAAAAGACCAAAAAAAAAAATAATTTGATGTCTTCATTTCTTTTTCTGGTCACCTATTGAGTCATGGAGTCATACAAATAATTGCAACAATACCTGACATGTATAAGCCCACAGCACCAAAATATTGCTATAAAATTTCTTTTTAACAAAATTATTTACAAGTGTCAGTTAACAGTTCACATGTATTTTTTCTTGCTGTGAAACCATAAAGAGCTGAAAGTTTCTCTGAGTTTATTTTTTATCTCACAGTCATTAGTAAAACTGGTATTTCTTTAAGTGACATGTTAAAACAAAGTTCTTCATTTTTGATATTTCAATAGCATTGTCATCTCTCTAGAAAACAAATAAAAGTATTGATCTTCCAATGACATTTAACATGACAATCTTTAAGTGATTGAGGGTAAGCTGATTGGTTATTTAATTATTTATTTATGACATAAAATTCTTAAAGCCACAAAGTATGATATGATTCGAGGACAGTAAAAGTGTCCCACCATGT